ATCCCACACCCCACCCTAACTCCACCGGATATCCCACTCCCCACTCCCACTCCTCCGGATATCCCACTCCCCACTCCCATTCCTCCGAATAACCCACTTCACACCCTAACTCCACCGGATATCCCACTCCCCACCCCCACTCCTCCGGATACCCCACTCCCAACTCCCATTCCTCCAGATAGCCCACTCCCCACCCCCACTCCTCTTGATAGCCCACTCCCAACTCCCATTCCTCCAGATATCCCGCTGCCCACCCCAACTCCATGTGATATCCCACTCCATGGGATAGCCCAGACCTAACCCCTGACATCAGACTCTCACCAAACCAACTCCTGTGCACAACAAACTGTCAAACCCATGCTCTCCAGGAACCACCTTAATCCCCTTGGCTGTGCTGACTTTTTAAAAATTCATTTTGTGGGATGTGGGCACCTCAGAATTTATTGCCCTGTGTGTAGGTGCCCCCCTTGAGAAGGTGGGGGTGAGCTGCCTTCTTGAACCACTGCAGTCTATGTGCTGTGGGTTGATCCACAATGTCCCTTACGGAGGGAATTCCAGGATTTTGACCCAGCGACACTGAAGGAACGGCAATATATTTCCAAGTCAGGATGGGGAGTGGCTCGGAGGGGAACCTGCAGGGGGATGGTGTTCCCATGTACCTGCTGCCCCTTGTCCTTCTGGATGGAAGTGGTCGTGGGTTTGGAAGGTGCTGCCTGAGGATCTTTTGTGAATTTCAACTCAACTCTTGATGTGAAAATTTCCCGGAAAAGCATTTTCTCGACCTCCTTCACCCAAACCTTCGCATCCGCCTCCTCCCCACCCACAAAGTAACCTCTCCAATGCCAGGCTATGCCCATCTCCATGAGACAATGTTACCATTGTACCTTGACATTCAATGGTGTTACCATCACTGAATCCCCTGGTATCAACATCCTGGGGGTTACCATTGACCAGAAACTCAACTGGACTCACCACATAAACACAGTGGCTACAAGAGCCGGTCAGAGGCTGGGAATCCTGCAGCGAGTAAGTCACCTCCTGACTCCCCCCCAAAGCCTGTCCCACCATCTACAAGGCACAAGTCAGGAGTGTGATGGAATACTCCCCACTTGCCCCTGGATGGGGTCAGCTCCAACAACACTCAAGAAGCTCGACACCATCCAGGACAAAGCAGCCCCCGCTCGAATGGCACCACATTCACAAACATCCCACTCCCCCCACCACCGACGCTCAGTAGCAGCAGTGTGTACCATCTACAAGATGCGCTGCAGAAATTCACCAAAGATCCTCAGGCAGCACCTTCCAAACCCACTACCACGTCCATCCAGAAGGACAAGGGGCAGCAGGTACATGGGAACACCACCCTCTGCAAGTTCCCCTCCGAGCCACTCCCCATCCTGACTTGGAAATATATCGCTGTTCCTTCGTTGTTAATTCAGAGGCACTTTTTATTGATATGATCTTTCACACAAGGTGAGTATAGCTAGTTGGGCCCAGCGTTTATTGCCCATCCCTAACTGCCCCTTGAGAAGGCGATGAGCTGACTTCCTAAGCCAGTGTTCTGTAGATACACCCACGATGTGGGAGGGAGTTGCAGAGTTTTTATCTCAGCAACACTGAAAGAGTTGGAGGGGAGTAGTCATTGTTGGCTTTGACATGTCGTGAGCGATTTTTGTTTTGAGAAGTACCTGAGGACAGGATTTTAACACATTGAGTTCAGGTTGTTTCTGCCTGTAGCAGTGTTACTGAGCTCATCTCTCTGTCCCTACCCTACATACTGATGCAGCTGTCAACCTACCGTCTCTCACTGTCGGCTCTCCTGTCACCCCAGGTTGATATGATTACTTTGGCGGAGCAGATTATTGATGCCACTCCAGAGAGGATCAAGCAGGAAGATTTTAACACCGTCGAGACAGCTCTGAAAGAGCATCAAGACAATGCAGCGATCAGTGACACCATGAGCTGGCTGGCCAGCTACCTGGAGAATGTTGACCAACTTCCAAACTTCTCCCAGCACAGGTAATCCCAGTGGATCCACGAGGCATCCTCACTGGACACAGGATAATAGCAAATAACATGTGCATTGAAAGAGGATCACAGTCAGGGAGTGATGGGGATCATTGGGTTGGGGATCACTAGGTCAGACATCAATTGGGATCCACTGAGTCAGTGATTTGCTGGAGATCAATGGGTTGGGATCCAATGGGGTCAACTGGGTTGTGCATCACTAGGTCAGGGATTATTGGGTCATGGTTCCAATGTAGCTGTTTGGATGTGGATCTGAAAGAGACCATGTATGAGGAGACCTGTCATGGATCACGAGGGCTGGCAATCTGGCGGGAATTACTGAAGCTGGGAATATCATTTTTATGAATAGGGATGGACTTCGTTGGGGATGATCGTTCTGCAGTCTGATAGGGACGAAGATTGGGACATCTGATGGGGATCACTGCAATTATGGATCAATGAGGATCGCGAGACCTGGGGATCTGATTAGGATCTCTGGAAATAAAAATCAGATGGCACTCACTGGGATGAGGGAGTCAATGGGACTTTGGAGACAGGTTTGTCGCTGTATAACACTGGGGTACAGTACTGGTGGGGACAGGTCTGTCGCTGTATAATGCTGGGATACAGTACTGGTGGGGGCAGGTTTGTCGCTGTATAACACTGGGGTACAGTACTGGTGGGGGCAGGTCTGTCGCTGTTTCACACTGGGGTACAGTACCGGTGGGGACAGGTCTGTCGCTGTATAACACTGGGGTACAGTACCGGTGGGGACGGGTCTGTCGCTGTATAACACTGGGGTACAGTATTGGTGGGGACGGGTCTGTCGCTGTATAACACTGGGGTACAGTACTGGTGGGGACAGGTCTGTCGCTGTATAACACTGGGGTACAGTACCGGTGGGGGCAGGTCTGTCGCTGTATAACACTGGGGTACAGTAGCAGTGGGGACGGATCTGTCACTATGTAACACTGGGGTACAGGACCAGTGGGGACAGGTCAGTCGCTGTATTCCACTGGGGTACAATACCGGTGGGGACAGGTCAGTCGCTGTATAACGCTGGGGTACAGTATCGGTGGGGACGGGTCTGTCACTGTGTAACACTGGGGTACAGTACTGATGGGGACAGGTCTGTCTCTGTATAACGCTGGGGTACAGTACCGGTGGGGACAGGTCTGTCACTGTATAACGCTGGGGTACAGTACCGGTGGGGACAGGTCTGTCACTGTATAACACTGGGGTACAGTACCGGTGGGGACAGGTCTGTCTGTGTATAACACTGGGGTACAGTACTGGTGGGGGCAGGTCTGTCACTGTATAACACTGGGGTACAGTACTGGTGGGGACAGGTCTGTCGCTGTATAACAGTGGGGTACAGTACCGGTGGGGACAGGTCTGTCGCTGTATAACACTGGGGTACAGTACCGGTGGGGGCAGGTCTGTCGCTGTATAACACTGGGGTACAGTACCGGTGGGGACAGGTCTGTCACTGTATAACGCTGGGCTACAGTACCAGTGGGGACAGGTCTGTCGCTGTGTAACACTGGGGTACAGTACCGGTGCGGTCAGGTCTGTCAGTGTATAACACTGGGATGTAGATTTGGTGTGTAAAGGTGCTGATTTGGTAAGGGATGTGGCTGGATGTTGTCCTTTGGGGAACAGAGAGTAACTTGCGTGTGTGTTTCTGTTGGCCAAGTGTTGTGATAGCCAATCCTGTACCAAGTGATGTTGATCATATGGAGTGCAGTTAGCGCTGGGTAGAGGTGACATTGAGATCTGGTCAGGGTTGTACCGCCTGTCTTTGATGTGCTGTGTCTCTCTCCCCTCCCCACCCCCAGCTCCACTGGGATTTATATTGGACGAGACCCTGATTCAGGTGACATGTTGCCCAGGATTATATTCCCGTGCTGACGCACAAACTGACTGCTTCAGATTGTTTTGAAATTCCATGCAGCCTGAGATCTTGGCGAAGTGGGTGAGGACAAGTCTGCAGCCGCACCCAGTCCCAGTGTGAACTAGCTGCAGGAAGTGTTTACACTGAAATCTGCGCTCCGATTATTATTCCACAGCCTGTCTACCAGGCCGTCAGCTTCACTTTGAGAGCAGACTGTGTCTCGGCCACACAGCCAGAGCTCCCCTAGCGGTTTTGAAGCAGTCAATGACCACAGCTTATTTCCACCTAGCTCAGTAATGTTTGCAAATCTTGGCCAGTCAGCATCAACAATTGGGACTAGTATTGATCCTGCACTCTCACCCCATTACTCCTTTCTGCATCGTGGACATATCTCGCATCCCTTTAATATATTTGTCGTGCTCCCCTTCCCCACACTCTACAGGAGTGAAGGCCCCATTGCTCCCACTCTCTGCATTCCTGATGGAATCGTTAGAGACTGTCTAACATAGCAAGCCCCTCTCTGAACAGGACATATTCGCTCTGCATTCCTTCGATTTTTCATATTTTGAATGACCATCATCGGGTCACCCCTCGGCCTTTCCAGACTACCCATCAGTCTGTTCCAGGGAAAGTACCCACATCATTCTGCTGTCAATACAAGTCACTGACCATTCTCCATGGTAAATACTGGAGATTAATTTCAGTCAGACATTCTGAAGATGTGAAGGAGCAATTAATGAAACAATGCAACTGAAAGGGAGCTTTAATCTGTATCTAACGCTGTGCTGTCCCTGTCCTGGGAGTGTTTGATGGCAGACAGTGTAGAGGGAGCTTTAATCTGTATCTAACCCTGTGCTGGCCCTGTCCCTGGGAGTGTTTGATGAGGGACAGTGTAGAGGGAGCTTTACTCTGTCTCTAACCCAGTGCTGGTCGTGTTTTGTGATTCGGAACATTAGCACCTTCATAAGTGATGAGATGATTGCAGTAAGTTGGTTATGTTCCTCATTCTCAGGTCTATGTACAGCCAGCCACTGACACCCCCATCAAACCCCTGCCTGAGCCCTGTCAACTCTCCACTCAGTGACATCACCTTTGAGAGAGTCGATACTCCAGCCAACACTGATTGGTCAGATTTCCTCAATGCATCAGCGAATGGGAAGATGGAGAGTGAGTTTGCATTGCTGACTCTCTCAGACCATGAGCAGCGAGAGCTGTATGAGGCAGCACGTATCATCCAGACTGCCTTCCGCAAGTACACGGTAAGCTCTGTGATAGGATTGTGTCTGCTGTCAGCACACGATCCATCAGTCACTCTCTCCCCTCCTTCACGCTGTCTGCCTCTCTCTCCCTCCCTCCCTCTCCACGCTCACTCTCTCCCCTCCTTCACGCTGTCTGCCTCTCTCCCTCTCCACGCTCACTCTCTCCCCTCCTTCACGCTGTGTGCCTCTCTCCCTCTCCCTCTCCACGCTCACTCTCTTTCTCTGCACCTTCACGCTCCCTCTTCGTTATCTCTCTCCCTCTTTCCTGATTGTTTTCACTCCCACCCTTCCTCTCCCCTGACTTCTCCTGCTCTCTGTCTGTCTTTCTGCCCCTGACCACTGTTATTGGTCTGACCATCTTGTCGCATTGTCCCCCTCCTGCACTCTGTCTGTTCTCACACACTGTGCCTGTCATGTGGGTTTGTTGGCTGTTGTGTGAGACTGTGGGTTGTCGGTGTGAGACTGTGGGTTGTCGGTGTGTGTGAGACTGTGGGTTGTCGGTGTGTGTGACTGAGAGTGTTTTAATTTCCAAAATATCCATTGTGACCTGAGTGATGTGTATATTTCATTTTTAACCCAATGCTATTATTTTTGAGAACCCGCTCGTCTTTGTGGCCACTCTGGGCTGAGAGTTGATGCTAGCCCTTGGCAGGGTCACTTGGTGCTCGATTAGGTTTGGTTCCTTCAGGCAGCTGAGCATTTCTCTCCCTCCCTTCTTATCCAGTAGCCTCTTCGACCGACTGTACTGTAAGAAAATCCCTGTGCACTGGGATTGCAGAGATAGTAGCATTGTGATTGAGCGCAAGAAGCCCGACACCATCCAGGACAAAGCAGCCCCCGCTCGATTGGCACCACATCCACAAACATCCCACTCCCTTTCCCCACTGACGCTCAGTCGCAGCAGTGTGTACCATCTACAAGATGCACTGCAGAAATTCACCAAAGATCCTCAGGCATCACCTTCCAAACCCACTACCACGTCCATCCAGAAGGACAAGGGGCAGCAGGTACATGGGAACACCACCCCCTGCACGTTCCCCTCCGAGCTACTCCCCATCCTGACTTGGAAATATATCGCCATTCCTTCAGTGTCGCTGGGTCAGAATCCCTGGAATTCCCTCCCTAAGGGACACTATGGGTCAGCCCACAGCACATGGACTGAGCGGTTCAAGAAGGCAGCTCACCCCCACCTTCTCAAGGGGGGCAACTAGGGATGGGGCAATAAATGCTGCCCCCAGCCAGCGACTCCCACATCCTACAAGTGAATAAACAAAACCAGACCTTGTAAATAGCTGCGGACGCAGAGGTATCCCAGTAGTATTTCCAATCTCCTTCACTTCTGTTCCCAATGAACATTGCACTGAGATCAGAGGGGCAGCCTTGCACAGTGAGAACTGATCTTCAGTTGTTGGGAAAAGTTGGGAGCTGGGTTAATGCCTGGTGTACGGTAGACTGGCTGAAGCTGAAGTCAGTCTGATGTGACTCTGACCTTCCAGTCCAGGCAGAAGGTTCCTGCCCAGACGGTGCAATCTATTCCTCTGCCCAGAGACACTGCCTGACCCATTGGGCATTTCCTGCTCGTTCTGGTTTCCATGTCCCATTTCCTGCATTTGGCAAGACTTTATAGAATCCCTACAGTGTGGAAGCAGGCCATTCGGCCCATTCAGTTCACTCTAACCTTCCGAAGAGCACCTCACCCTGACCCACCGCCTGTAACCCTGCACATCCCTGGGAACTATTGGACAACTTAGCACGGCCAATCCACCCTAACCCGCACATCCCTGGGCACTACGGGACAATTTAACACGGCCAATCCACCCTAACCTGCACATCCCTGGGCACTATGGGACAATTTAGCACGGCCAATCCACCCTAACCTGCACATCTTTGGACTGTGGGAGGAAACCGGAGCACCCAGAGGAAACCCACGCAGACACGGGAAGAATGTGCAAACTCCACACAGACGGTTGCCTGAGGGTGGAATCGAACCCAGGTCCCTGGTACTGTGAGGCAGCAGTGCTAACCACTGAGCCACCGTGCCAGAGAGAAGGAACGGATGGTGCCAGTTTTTTTTTTAGAAGCTTGAATGTTGAACTGTGCATTGACTAGTTGTCTAACTGCAGCCTGTGTTTATTGAGCAGGGCAGGAGGCTGAAGGAACAGCAAGAGATCGCTGCAGCTGTCATCCAGCGTTGCTACAGGAAGTACAAGCAGGTATAGTGCACTGTCCCTTGTGCCTCGTCCCATTGAAACGAACCACATGTCATAGGCAAGCACTGATCAAAGTTAAACATGAAGTTCGAGACCCACTCGATCAGCTTCCCCCCTCTGCCTGTGGACAGCATTTCTGATGTCTCCTCAGTATTTGATAAGCAGCCTCAGGTCATAACTCTCCTTCTGTAACTCAATAAATCCATGGAGATATTGAAACAAACTCAATTGCCTGTAAAGATAGTAGGAACTGCCGATGCTGGAGTCAGAAATAACACAGTGTGGAGCTGGAGGAACACAGCAGGCCAGGCAGCAGGAGCAGGAAAGCTGACGTTTCAGGTCGGGACCCTTCATCAGAAATGGTCCCAACCCGAAACATCAGCTTTCCTGCTTCTCTAATGCTGCCTGTAGCTTTGTTCTTTGCCTGTTGACTTGTTCATTGCCCCAGATTTAAAGTTTGTGAGGAAGTAGATGTGAGGTAATTGAAAGCACAATGTAAAACCAATTGATAACCAGCTCGATTAGCAGGGAGTCGAACACTCTCTTTATTCCATTTTCTCTCTTTGTTGTAAAAATGTGATTGGAATTTCTTCTTTCTGCTGTTCAGTCGTGCTGTGGAGCTGCTTATGCTCTGGGCTGTTATACACCATTTACTGTGATAGCCACCCAGAGCTGTCTCCTGGGGTGTCTTATCTGTTTCTGCACAGTTTCTGCTCTCAGCCTGGCTGTTTGCTTGGCTTTAATGCAGCAGTTTGGATCACAGCGTTGATCTGCTGGTGCTGCTGCGAGGTCTCTGACCATGGTGTGGATATTGTTTTACTCATCATAAGTGGGAGAGGGGACGAGCAGACCCAGCGTGATCAGCCCAGGCTAAGCCGTGCATGGCAAGCTCCCACAAACAACAACATGATGATGGCCAGCGAGACGGGTTTGGGTTGTTGGTTAAAGGACACAGTCCTCACTTTCTGTCCTGACAGAGATATCGAACAGGAGGTGCCCGTGACGTTGATCTCACCAACCAGATAGGGTCATGATTCAATCCTGCATTCAAAAGCCAGACTCTAACGGCATTCCCTCAGCACTGACCCTCCGACAGTGCGGCGCTCCCTCAGCACTGACCCTCCGACAGCGCAGTGCTCCCTCAGCGCTGACCCTCCGACAGTGCGGCGCTCCCTCAGCGCTGACCCTCCAACAGCGCAGTGCTACCTCAGCGCTGACCCTCCGACAGTGCGGCGCTCCCTCAGCGCTGACCCTCCGACAGTGCGGTTCCTGCTACCAATGATTAGAAATGGTGACAACCTGTCCATCAGGCATTGAGCCCAATTCCCCGACTCCCTCATCACCAGGAGGCTCCCATATTGAGGGGATGGGACTTGAATAGGATACTGGAGCCAGAGACTGAGGTCCAGGGTGTGTGTTGTAGGGACTGGGGAGAGGGTCGGAGGGTGGTATACGGTATGTTGGATGTGCCTCGGGCTTTCTGTGTCAGGGTAGGTGTGGCCTGATCACACTAACATTGCTCTCTTCGTTTCACTAGCTAACATGGATAGCACTGAAGGTAAAATAACATTTCAGGTTTTTGCTTGTCTTTCGGTTTGATAGTGTAATTGAGGTGAATTGCTGTCCCTGTGCCGTCCCTCAGCACCTGCCCTCGGCACTCTTCCGTTCGCCTATTTGATATGTATTGTAAATTCTGAAAGGTGTTTAATATCTTTGGTGAAACAATTGTTTAGGTTCCTATACTTTCTCTTCCTGTTCTGACTGATTCTGAAAAGGGTAATAACGGCCTGATCTCTCTCTGCACTGAGCCATGAGGCTGGTCCATTCATTTGGCTGGCTCCACAGACACTGATACAGTTTATAAAAATGCCCCATGGCACTGCCCTTGCCAAGTGAGGGAGAGAGGTGGGGGTTAACCATTGACAAACACTTGATGGTTGAAGACCATGTGGGAAGGTGTTCAAAATGATCAGAGGTATAGATAGAGTGGACAGCCAGAGCCTTTTTCCTAGGGTGGAGGTAGCTATTACGAGGGGGCGTAGTTTTAAAGTGAGTGGAGGTAGATATAGGGGAGACGTCAGAGGTAGGTTCTTTACTCTGAGAGTGGTAGGGGCATGGAATGCATTGCTGGAGAGGGTAGCAGAGTCGGCCTCATTAGGGGCATTTAAGTGGCTATTAGATAGGCATATGGATGATAGTATAAGGTAGGGGTGGAGGTTAGATAGACCTTAGATT